AAAACACTAAAAATTTCCCAGTAAGAGAAGGTGCTTATCCTCATATGAAAGTTCTTGGTGAGACTGGTCACTGCACAGTGCAGCAGGAGAAAAAGCTCCCATCCAGTTGGTTTTGATGGCAGCATTGTAGCTGACAAGCTGATTCAAGAACACACTCACTACCAGGAGGAACAAATGTCCTTGCAATACAAATCACCATTTATACTAATTCAATCAACAGACTAGGAGAGCTGGGCACAAGAGGATATTCCCACCCATGACAGTCTGAATTAGCTCTCTGGTAAAGACATTATAATGCTGGAAGAAAAACCAACTGCAGATTGCTTTTTTTTTTTTTTTTAAGTCTTTAAAGAATTTTTGTTCTCTTCATGCAATTCTCCTCAATTTCCTTTCTACCACTGATGGATCTTTAATGTGGAAGTTCTAGGGAGATCTCTGGAAACCTACACACAGAAGAAAATGAAAGTGAAGTGATTTTGAAGATACTCTTGATTGGCAAGTCAAGGATTCATAAAAACAGGTTTGAAGCAGGGGTCCACACAGCCCACATGAATCTGGCTGTCACCCTGTATGCGCTGCTAAAAAGTAACCAATGCCTTCTTCATTTCTGTCTTTGAAATCTCATGCAGGATGGGCTATTGATGAATTTTACCATGGAATCATCCAACTCCAACTCTGGATTTTACTGTCCTAGTACAGGTCTCTCTTCTGAATTCAAAAGTCAATTATCTCATAGAGTCTTTCTCCACTCTACTTTTGTGTTTGATAGGAAGTGACAGAACTGAATCCTGTCCCAGTTCCACACATTAATGGTATTTCTCTCATATATTAGTAGTATGAGTTCTTTCATGTCTTTGACAGGAACTAGGATGAAAGAAGGCTTTCCCACATTCCTTACATTCATAGGGTTTCTGTCCCGTGTGAATTTTTTTATGTATTTGGAGGGACTTGGCAGATCTGAAGGCATTAGCACATTGCTCACATTTATAGGGTTTCTCTCCAGTGTGGGTCCTCTCATGTCTATGAAATGACCTGACAGAATGGAGTATTTTACCACATTGCCTACATTCGTAGGATTTCCCTCCAGTGTGAATTCTTTTATGTATTTGAAAGGAGGTGGAACTGATGACTTTACCGCATTGCTTACATTCACAGTGTTTCTCACTAGTGTGAGTCCTTTTATGATAAAGAAAGGAACTGTCATAATGGAAGGCTTTCCCACACTGTTTACATTCATAGGGTTTCTCACCAGTGTGAGTCCTTTCATGTATTCGAATGCCTTTGGCAGACCTGAAGGCTTTCCCACAGTGCTTACATTCATAGGGTTTCTCTCCAGTGTGAAT